GCAAAATAAAGTTTGTTCCTGAAACGATCTGGTGTGTACTCCTCATTCCGGGACCCCCGAAGGATCACCATGTTACAATTATGTATAGCTAATTGAGATTTCATAAAGAGAATATTACCTGTTTTCCATTATTGTATATAGGATGTTTGAAGCACTGAAGTTACACGAGTAACATGAACTTGGTTTCAGGCAATCAGTTTGCATGGTTTTATCAAGTAAATTACTTTTCTGTTCAGTAGATAATACTGATATATTTATAGTTATGTAACATTAGTTAGGCCAACTTAAATAAATGTCTTACTTCACTTGAAAGAATTAAGTTGTTTGAAATTGTAATTTTAAGTAGGTGATAGTAGTTCAAAAGTACTCCTGACTACACCTGACTAAAAAGCATGTGTTAGTACAACATATAATACATATTTAACTTTCCTTGAATGTAACAAGTTCCCTTACTTGATTTTTTTAAGGCAATCGGTTTACAAGCTTTTTTTAAATAAGGTTTACTGATTGGATTTTACAGTGCACAATAGGTGGGGGGTTTCGATTTCTCTCGATTCTCTCTAGAACGATTCGGTCTCGGTTCAGAAAAGTTAAGTCTATGGTTGAATGCACTTATTGTACGTCGCTTTGGATAAAAGCATCCGCTAAATGACATGTAATGTAATGTAATAATCGGAATTTTAAAAAAAAGAAAAAGTCCGTTGTGTCAAAAATCTGTCTCGCGCGAGCAAAAGTTCATCTTGCGTGAGATATTTGCTCGCTAGCGGAGCGTGAACTTCCTCGCTCGCGAGGTTATTCTCTGCTCGCGCTCGATGTTTTCTACGCGCTCGCTGTTTTCTACGCGCTCGCTGTTTTTCTTTTTGACAGTAAGGGGGCGGAGCCAGTCACCATGGTACACCTGATTGGTTACAAACCCTGTCTTTGGATTGGCTGGAGTGATGCATTCACAACTATAGAAGCCCATTTCCGCACTAATGTAAGGGGATAAAAAGAGAGATAAAACGTTGTCAAAAAACAAACGCCCCCCTTCGGTAATCGTAGTGGACCGTAGATGACAACCAGCTATAACAATCATTTACCATCTGAGTAGCAAACTCAGATTTGAGAAAATTTAGAAAATAGTTTTATCAGTTTAGAATCGATAATCGGTTGAGAGTCGATAATCGGTTTAGAATCGAATTGTTGACCTCTGAATTGGAATCGAATCGAATCGTGAGGTGCCAAGAGATTCCCACCCCTAGTGTACAAGCAAAGAGTCTCTAAGCTAAATGCTTTGATAGACTCATACATGACAGCCAGATGGTGGTTTCAGTTCCACAGGTTCCAAACAGCATTCAGGATGTGATTCACTGGAGACATTTGAATACATTCTTCTGGCCACAGCTATATTTCCCCAGCATAAGCCATACTACCCCCTAGTTATAATGTATGGAAAGTATGCAAACTTCTTTTCATTTCACCATCTGTGCCCCCTGTTTAACTGGTTCCGGTTCCCCTAATCCCATTCCATTGTACTTGAAAATACTCTTGGTGAGACCTCTGCGGTGCCAGCCTTGTTTGCTGTCAGACAGAGCCTGGGCTGATTATTCATGTTCCTTAGGTCTGCTGAGGGGCACCAGGCGTTGTGGTTGTGGAATCTACGAATGTAAGGAAGTGGTTTAGCTTTTTTTCCATGCGTGTGGTGTGTTTTAAAAAAAACTTCATTCAGCCATTTGGAAAAATGCTATTGGCACCCGTTTCCACTTAAAAAACAAAATTCCTGACCTCTCAGCATCATTTAGTTAAGGGTTTGATTTCCAGTCAGCCCCGCAATGTGATCAACAAACCATTGAGGTTTCAGGACACTGCTGATTCACACTATTTGTGCCTTATCATAGCTTCACTGGGGTCTAGAAGTCTCAACACAATAGTTAGTTACAAAAGAAGTTGTGGATTAAGAAGTGCTGTGAACTGGGTTTTGCACTCCACAGCAAACCAAACATACTGGGTTATTACAGCGGCGCTGGGAGCAGGAGTATGTCATTAGTAGCGCACAGTCCCAAACAGACACAAACAATCATGCATTTAAGTTGTGTCTTTCAGGTTGCTCCCCTTACTTCCCAGCTGCTGTTGTGAATAATAAACTCCCAAACTTCAAATGCGTATATCACCTTCTATACTAAAACTAAATTCCCTTTAAACTTCCACCAGTTGTTTTACACAGCCAAAAGTGGTATTTGCGAGGCACACACATAATTGCATGTTTGGTTGGTAAATCAGGAACTCTGGCTCTGCAGGCTGCCCTCAAACTATAGCCTTGGGATAGCTATTAATATCCCATGCAAACACCAGCTAAAGTTTCTGCCTTTCCAATTCTGTTTCAAGACTATACAGCAGGAATTCAAAAAAACACATTCAAACACAGAAAATGAAAGGGGAGGATGTATTGCTCAAGAGCCTCAAACCATGTAAAGTAGGGCCATACTGACAAGACTTCAGCTGGAACAATAGGGCCATGTAGTGTTGCAAAAGGAGCTGACCCGTTGGGAGTTCGAGCAAGCGATGATGAAGGTAACGGTCAGTTTATTTTAACCTGTTTCCTGTTGTTAGAACACATTGGTTTTGGACCAAAAGTAAAATATTTCCTGGTGGGGACAAATATTGAGATACTGAATATTTATATATGAAAACAGTTCATTGAAAACAGAGACATGGGTCCTCCCACGCGTTGAAATGAGGGTGTTGCTCTGGACTGGAGTGACTTAGAGCGTATACACAGACATATGTAAGACCTCTCACTCCTTCACTGCTCTCCCTCTCTCCCCTTCCTTTCTTCCTCCCCCTCACATCTGGACTATTGGGAGGACCTAGTTCCTGCGTGGTGTGTGCACATCAGCGGGGGACTCACTTTTTGGGTTGGGCAGCTTTGAGCAGTTCACACTGTGTGAATCTTATTAGTTCAAGATATTGTACCTCGTTGTGTTTCACTGTGTGAACAACTGCTGTAGCGTAGATAAGATGATAAAGAATATTTATTTTTATGCACTCAGTGTAATGTCATCAAACTGGGGTTAGTTTATTGATTTTAATTGATTTTATTTTAGTCCTTTTCCAACTGAGCATCAGCCATTTTTGTTCAGAGTCAGAAACAGGAATATTGTGCACTCATCACAAACCAACATGAATGCTTCACACAGAAACGAGTCTTGGCCACAATCTCTATTAATCCATTTGAAAATGCTCCAAACATAACGCCAACAAGTAATAAAATGTGTTATGCAAATTAGTCTAGAACATTTTCACACAGTGGTGCTTATGCACACTTTTTTCATCAAAACTGAAGCTAACAAAGAAAACGAGACCCTGAATCACAGCATGCTGCGGAATTGAGTGAAATCCGAATCATTTAAATCAGACAAACCTTGCCGATGCATGTATGGGAGATACGTGCAGTGGCCATTGTATGTTTCTCCACAAGCAACTTTTAGGGATTGGTGGGGCAAACCCCTAAAACTCCCAATTCGGCCGAGTACTTTTCAACATGTGTCTGTTTCCTGTTGAAAACGTTTGCTCATGTAGAGACCATCCATAATGAGTCATGTAAATAATCTTGCAAACTTCTTATCTTGTCTCAACATCAGCGTAATGGAAAAAGGGATTAAACCCAGATTTGGGAAACAGTCCATTCATCAAGTTTTGCTCTATCCTCATGACATTCTTTGAAAAAAAGAGAATTGAATCCCAACCGTGTCATGCACAGATGCATAAATGCGTGGGTTGTGAAGCAGAACAACGAAGGGTAAAGAGCAAACTTGTGGGAGGAAATGTGACCATGTAGTCCATCTCAGATTAATCATACTGAAAGGTAGGGTTCTACTCAAGGGACATGAAAATGATTGTAAGTCTTCTCCAGTCAACACTCCTCTACATCCATGCATCCGGTCATTTAAATGACAAAATCTGTTCATCACACTCCACAAACTTCAAGTAAGTCTAGATGAACTGAACATAACAGTTTCTGTTGTGTTCAGAGCTGGTTTGCCTTGTTATGTTTTTAACTACTTCTTTAGCTAACCTGGGTTACAACAACTGTAACTGGGATAAAATACAATTTCTTTGAGGACCCTTTGAGATTCTGACTGGGATATATATCTGGAACACAAAAGCAACAGGAATGTTCCACGCAGAAAATTGAATTACTTAGATTTACAGCCTAGATTTGCTTCAGGGTGGGTGAATTCCCTTTTGTTTTAAAATTGCAATCAGGTCTGGTTGTTTGACAGTCACATTATGTCACAGGCCTACTCTTATACACCTTTGCTGCATAATGTCTGTATGTCTCTGGAAGGTTCAGTGAAATGAGGAAGCAAGAATATGCCATCTAATCCCAACTTCAAGTGACATAAACTCATGCAACATTTTTATTTTAATTACAGAGGACGACTATACAATAACACTTTCAGTTTGGATTGACAGTGCAAAAAGGATGCTTCCAAACACAAACAGACATTTTTGTTTGCAGGTTTGAATCTGCTGCAGAGTGAAGAGAGGGAACCTGTTTAGAGATCTATTCACACAGTCAACACAGAGCAATTAACCTCAAGCCAGTGTGAGGTCAACCCACATAGAGAACAACACATTACCCAACTGATGCACAGTGCCAACTCCACTCATTCTCAGGTGTTCATCTCAGTAACCCACAATTTATGTATTTAGTTGTTTGGTCTCCTGCTGTTTTCACTGTTGGAGTTTCCAGAAGTACAAAGCCTCTATCGTTTGGCACTCAGAGAAGGCACGTCTTGGGAGGATTTTATTTCAGACTTTACGGAGCAGCACACTTGCAGAGATCACTGGTAGGCCGATATAATAGCTTTATAGTACTGCCATAAAGTTCACATACATACTAATCCATCTACTGATAACGCCAGGATAGGGTTCGCAATGCATGGAATGCAATGCAGCCAAAGCATGTTCACGGTTAAATAGCTTGTGTGTGTGTGTGCGTGTGTGTGTCCCGCGTCGCGTCCCGCCTCACCATGAGTGACGTCACATATTTAAGGAGTCATGGACACAGGCGGGTCAGACTCCGGTGTTACTTTTCCAGCGGACACATCCTCGCCGGACGTGCGCTTATAGAAAGGTACAGTGTTTTTGTTATCGGCCGAAACATTTTCCTCTGGAAGGAAGAGGGAATTAAAGCATCTGCAGGCGGCTTTATGCTTTGGCAAAACATCTTTCGGAGATTTTCGGAGAAAAGTTCGGAGTTCGAGCGCCTTCGTTTCAGAAGGAGTCTGCTCTTTTGTCTTTGTAAGAAGTTAATTGCCCATTTGCAAGCGGTTAATTAAGCGTATAAACTACAGCATACTGGGTGTGGCTGTTATTAAACAGAGTAGTTGTAACTTCTGTGGCAAGACTGATTTGCAGGCTTCCGTTCCCGACCGTTTGTGCACTGATGGGAATTTCCTTCAGTGAGAAAATCGGTGCGCGTTTTATATGTGTGGAATTAGGTATTGCTGTTGTGAAACTTTTTTTAAAACTTTTTTTCTCTCATTTTATTCTATATCCCCCTTGCCCGTAGCCTTCTATTTTATAGTGTAAAAGTAAATTGCAAATTGTAAAGTTAGAACATGCCACTTTTCTTGCACTTTTGTTATTTGGCTTGTTGTCTCTTTGTCTTTCTGTCCAATGTTATGTACAGTGCATCCGGAAAGTATTCACAGCGCTTCACTTTTTCCACATTTTGTTATGTTAAATTCATTATTTTCCTCAACATTCTACACACAACAACCCATCATGACAAAGTTAAAACTGTTTTTTGCAAATGTTTGCAAATCTGTTAAAAATAAAGAACAAAAACATAACATGTATTCACAGCCTTTGCCATGACACTCAAAATTTAGCTCAGGTGCATCCTGTTTCCACTGATCATCCTTGAGATGTTTCTACAGCTCCAAAGCGCTCTGGACCTCAGACTGGGGCGACGGTTCATCTTCCAACAGGACAACGACACAAAGCACACAGCCAAGATAACAAAGAAGTGGCTTTGGGACAACTCTGTGAATGTCCTTGAGTGGCCCAGCCAGAGCCCTGACTTGAACCCAATTGAACATCTCTGGAGAGATCTGAAAATAGCTGTGCACCGACGCTGCCCATCCAACCTGATGGAACTTGAGAGGTTCTGCAAAGAAGAATGGGAGAAACTGCCCAGAAATAGGTGTGCCACGGTTGTGGAATCATATCCAAGAAGACTTGAGGCTGTAATTGCTGCCAACGGTGCTTCAACAAAGTATTGAGCAAAGGCTGTGAATACTTATGTACATGTTATGTTTTCGTTCTTTATTTTTAACAGATTTGCAAAAAACAGTTTTCACTTTGTCATTATGGGTTGTTGTGTGTAGAATGTTGAGGAAAATAATGAATTTAATCCATTTTGGAATAAGGCTGGAACATAACAAAATGTGGAAAAAGTGAAGCGCTGTCAATACTTTCCGGATGCACTGTAACAACTCAAATTGCTTGTATGTGTAATGTATTTTGGCAATGAATGTTCCTGATTACTGATTCCTCAATGTTTATGGCTCACATAGGGTTGGGTGAAGTACCGATAGTAGTTGAGACCATTGACCACTAATTATTATTTACATTTTTAAGGATGCACTGGTTAACTTTTTATGAAAAATATGAAGAAAAACATTAATCTCATGTATATTAAGGAAGGTTGATGTACTCAGGTTATGTATTTTTTAAACCTTTTTCTTTTTTACAGCTGCAAGACGACAATGATGGAGCTGATGACTGCTGCCCCTTTCTATCACCTCAACACATCAGACGCCACCGGAAGAAACATCTCTTTGTATGAAGACGACGACGAGTATGACTATAAGGACGAGCATGCTGAGCTGAGACAGTCTCTCAACATCATGTCTCTCATTGTTTACTGCCTGGCCTTTGTTCTTGGTGTGCTCGGCAACGGTGTGGTTATCTGGGTGACCGGCTTCAAGATGAAGAAAACAGTTAACACGGTTTGGTTCCTCAACCTCGCTGTGGCCGACTTCCTCTTCACAGCGTTTCTGCCCCTGAGTGTCACCTACACAGCTCTGGATTTCCACTGGCCTTTTGGCAAATTCATGTGCAAACTGAACACCACAATAAGCTTTCTGAACTTGTATGCCAGTGTCTACATTCTGGTGGTGATCAGTGTGGACAGATGTGTGTCTGTGGTGTGGCCCGTCTGGGCCCAGAACTACCGAAGTGTACGCAAGGCGTCCTTTGTGAGTCTGGGGGTTTGGGTCGTGGCTCTGATACTCAGCACTCCATACTTCATCTTCAGGGACACTGGGCCATCTTATAACGATAACGATGTCATCAACTGCTTCAACAACTTTGCACTTTCTGACGACTACGAGAACGAGTCTGTGATTCAGCTGCGACTGTTTCGTCATAAGGCCATGACCATCACCCGCTTCCTCCTGGGATTTGTTGTCCCCTTCACTGTCATTGTCTCCTGTTATGCTGTCATAATCCATCACATCAGAAGAAACCGCACCCTGGCCAGCCACTCAAGACGCTCCTTCAAGATCATCGCTGCTGTTATCACTGCTTTCTTCCTGTGCTGGGCTCCTTATCACATTATGGTTTTAATAGAGTTAGTTAATCACATGGAGGATCATGCAAGTGAAATATTAGGCCATGTCATCACTATTGGAGTCCCTATAGCAACCAGCCTGGCCTTTCTCAACAGCTGCTTGAACCCACTGCTGTATGTGTTTATGGGACAAGATTTCAAGGACAAAGTCCGCAAATCCATCTTGAATGTTTTGGAGACTGCCTTCCAGGAGGAGGTTTCTCGCTCCTATACCTACACAAACTCAATGGTTACAAGCCGGAGCAAAGAAAAGTCTGTTTCTGATGCTGAGGTGTAAGGTTTTCCATGAAAAAGCAAATACTGTAACTGTAAATACTAAATGTAACTGTATATAACAAATAACAAAGCTTCTGTTGCTGTTGTTTTTAACCTCAAGGGTATAAGCATTATCTGAAGCATTATCTTTCTTCTGGTAGAGCAGACAAACGTATTGTAAACTTCTAGATTCATGTGTAATGCATTTGTGTTATAGGGCATTGTTAATTAATGAAAAGGTTATTTTTTAAATCAATGTTAATAATGCGTATTCACGTAGAACTTTACAATGGTAAATAGAAATTTAATAATGTCCATGCATGAATAAACACATGAAGACAACTTTACCCATATTAGATAACCTATAGAGTAGAATACCTCTTCATTTCACAGTCACAGCTATTTGACTCACAGCTGGATTATCTTCTACCATTCTTTATGGTTTATGGTTTAATTTGTGCAACAGAGACAACCAGTATCTTTCATTTACTCTTATATTCTTTATAAAACTGTATGCTTTTCATCTGTTGCATATACCCCAGATGTTGTTTAGTACATGATGTACTAATCCAGATGTTGTTTAGTACATGATGTACTAATCCAGACATCTATTTTATATGGGCCGCAATTGCAGACTATATTAAAAACCTAAAAGCATATTTCGTCAATAATAATAAGACTAGTTCGACACAATGCATTTCCTGCCATAGAAGATATCAAATTAGCAAAAGTAATATCAAATCAAATATCAAATATCAAATATCAAAAGTAAAGAGATGTATGATGTGAAGGATCTACTATTCAAAATAGTGATGTGGGACAACTGTATGAACAGGCTCTTAGCAAATCAATTTAGTAACTCGCCGCTTACTACTGATCCTATCATGTTCATTTTTTTAATCAGGCACATGACCACAAAGATCATCTTTGCTAAAAATGTCACTATCTTGTCACTTATTTAGTCCAGTAATTTTCCGTGTATTTTCACCCTGTAACATCTATTTCCTATGTCTCCTGCCATTTGACAACCATATCTGATCCAACTGACTTCTGATTGCTAAATGTTTACTGCACGCTTTGATAACATGTGTTTTACTCAGCATCAGAACCTGCTGATTTAAGCCTAATAAATATCTATAAGGACTCCTGGTTTCTCTCTTCACTCTTGGTGTAATCTATTGATCATCGTTGGTTACTTTTAGGGAGAGATACTATGTGTTCGATATATTTTGAGGCTATTCTGATCATTGATTTATCTGCCAGTTTTGTACTTAAAAAGCTCTCGGTAAAATGTCTAAGTTTTAAATGTTTTGACCTTAGTGGCCAACTGCAAAGAGTCTTTCAAATGGTGATGATGATCATGATGTTATTGTTCTTGTGGTTAGCATTACTTCCATTATTAAAATATAATTTGGAGTGTTTCCTCTCATAGCGTACATTTCATAATGGGAAACCTTGTTTGCTATACTAAACACTTTCCAGAAGCGGGTTAATCATTTGATTGTATAAATATTACGGGTACACCTTTACTGCTAAAGTGATCAGATATTATGTCCTGTTATTCTTAAGTGTCTAATGTCAATGGGGAATGTATAAGGGTTATCAGTGAAATAGTATTCATAATAGCCTATTTTTTATTAATTTCAAATGTCTATTCTCTGCAGACAAATAGATTAAACACCTGTAGCTCAATTCTTTCACAGAATACTGCTATGTGTAAAATATTGTTTAAGCCATTTTTTTATTTTTTTTTTAGATTAGATTCAACTTTATTGTCATTGCGCAGGGTACAAGTACTGAGGCAACGAAATGCAGTTTAACATCCAACCAGAAGTGCAAAATAGCAAAAAAGTGCAGAGTATGTGCATATGTAAAGTGTAGAAATAGTTATGCAATATGAACAGTAAAAAATGGATATACAATAACAGTGCAAATGCAGGGATGAAGCTGTTCCTGAACCTGCTGGTCCGGGAACGGAGCACCCTGTAGCGCCTCCCAGAGGGGAGGAGGGCAAACAGTCTGTGGCTGGGGTGAGAGCTGTCCTTTTCGATGCTGCGTGCCCTCCGCAGACATCTCTTGCTCTGGACAGCCTCAATGGTGCAGGGAGGAACCGGTGATGCGTTGGGCAGTTTTCACCACCCTCTGCCGTGATTTACGGTCCGCGACAGAGCAGCTGCCATACCATACTGAGATGCAGTTTGTAGGGATGCTCTCTATGGTACAGCGGTAGAAATTCTCTAGAATCTGAGGAGACAGATGGGCCTTCTTCAGTCTCCTCAGGAAGAAGAGACGCTGGTGTGCTTTCTTTACCAGGGATGAGGTGTTGAGGGTCCAAGAGAGGTCCTCATTATCAGCTATAAGTTATTGTTTGATATTATTTTGAAAGAAAGACATTTATGGGACAATAACTTGCTGACAAAACTAATAAAAGCAGTCAACCACAATATTTGAGGAAATGGTTGGATCGCTCCACTCACTTAAAAGGGGGTTTAGTTGCTTATCAGCTCCAATATTATAAAGAGACCTTTTTGAAATAACCTATGTAGTTAAATGATGTTGTAGCAGGTGGGATGCCCACATGGGGTGGAGTTTGTGTGTGAGTCTTTTGGAATAGCTGCAGCAAAACACAGGTCTATGTGACTACAGTGGTTTGTCTGAGAGAAAATGTCAGTTTCGTGGCTCACAGTACATTTACATAAAGGACTTTGATGTTTGAGCTATTTACAGTCTAGTAAGTTAATAATGTGTATTGTGTTACTTGTCATGTCTATGGTAGTCTGATATTTACTCCCTATGTGTGGCATTTTGTGTAAGGATGTAGTGCATGTTACATATCTTCCGTTTAGGTAAAAGTAGCATCCCCTGCCCTCTCACCTTTCCATCTATACAGCCTGAGGGCCTACTGTGGCTCAGGAGGTAAAGTGAGTATTTCACTGCCGCGAAAATGAACCATTCGATTCCAGGCTTCATCAGTCCGCTTATACGTTTGTCCATTTTTAAGATTCTGAATCCCAAATTGCTACCCAAGACTGTGCCATCAACTTAAATGTGTGTTTATATCCTGATGGGGAGGTTTGACCTCCTTGATGCCATCTTTTAGTCTTAGTCTGGCAACGCTGTATGTTTCCTTGTCACCTGACCAAAAGTCATCTGTTATCCAGGTCTTTTTGATTGGAGAGTGAATTTATGGCCTTGTGATGACCACATTATCCACACATTCACTGTTGATACAGTATAAGATGTCACTTACGTATTCCTCCAGATTGATGTCATTCTCCTGGGTGGCAGCATCCCTGAACATGTCTGTACTTTTTAAACAATTGTGTGGAGCAGTTATAGCTTAATCTGTTATGGTGTCAGTGTGCTTGTCAATAGAAGCAAAGTGATGCAAACTGTTTGTGCAAACACTTCGTAGTTCCTCAAAGTTGGATGAGCAAGCACTTGCCAAGAAAAGCAAACTGCCGTGACAAGAAGGGCAGTCTTTCGAAACGTTGAAAGGGTACAGATCAAATGCAAAAGAGGTGGACCAAGACTTGTTCAACTGCCCTTACAAAAATGTATTAATCTGTCCAAAAACGTCAAGTGTTGCGTGCCGGCTGTACTTCCTTCTCTTTGTGGGCGTTACTGTCATCACATCTCTCCGTAAAGACTTCAATCTTTCAATTTCATTACTTCTGCCACGGATTCAACTTTGACCAACTGGACAATTTTCAGAAAGGTATTTTTCTTATATTTCTACAGTGTTATATTTAAAAGGAAATATCACACGAAAATGAACTGATTTGGGGTATTAAGACCTCTTAACTTTGATTCATAGAGCTTGGTGTTAATGACGATTTATGAATAAAAAGGTAAATTAGTCAAAAAAAGCTTTTGTTCATCTGTGATCTATGCCTATACGTTGACTTTTCTGCAGCAACGACGTGTCATTTTGGTAGAATAAATAAATGAATGACACTTACAGTAAAAGAGGTTCAGGTTCAGAAGCAGTTACAAAGATAACGGTTATTGGATTAAACGTCTTACGACCAAAGAGAGGAATTGTATTTTTGAAATGACACCGCAGATAATTTAATGGGACAGCAACACATTCTTCCCAATCTGGTTCTTGTTTTGGTCTCTTGAAGAAACCAAAAACACAGATGCAGTAAACCTTGTTTTAACAAGGGATTTGTGGATGAACAAGTAGGCAACTGGTGTTTGTAACTTTATTCAGACGAGATTTATTGAAAAAAATTTAAAAAAAACAGACTACTGCAGCTTCCACATCTACACCTGAATGTTATGACGACAATTCAATAAACATCTCTCGTCCACTGCCTGAAGAGTTATCGGGGTCCTGTTGCTGGGACCCTTTATCATTATTATTTGTTTCAGCCAGTAGATGGAGCTGTTCTACACATCACATGCTTCTCACATCAAGAGCTTCAGCAGGAGGAACATACCCTCCTTTGAGCCGGACTGATTTACATTGTTCATAATAGTGCAAACACATTTACTGTTGCTATTATACCACATCCAAGTCAAGTAGAGAGTAAAACCATCCCTAAACTGGAGTTATACATGAGGTCTCAGACTCCAGGTTTAACTTGTTTCGAAGTTTAAATCCTGAACCCAAACGCACGACTCCTGAGACGAATTTCAAAATCAAAGTTTATTTATTAAAGGAAACAGATGAAAATCACTCTCGGGAGGAAAAAAAAAAAAAAAAAAAAAAAACACAATAATAAACCTAAGAACAAAAAAAAAAAAATCTCTAGAAAATAAACACTAGGCTGAAAGAGGAATCAACCACACAGGGCAAGGACACATGCAGGTGGAAACAATGTGGGCAGGGCAGACTCTCACAATAAACAAAATACACAAACTAAACAACACTCACAGTAAAAACGGTTCAGAAAGATAACGGTTATTGGGTTAAACGTCTTACGGCCGCAGAGCAGAACTGTTTTAATTTTTAAATGACATAATTTAATAAAAATTTAATGGGACAGCAACACATTCCTCCCAATCTGGTTCTTGTTTTAGTCTCTTGAAGCAACCAAAAACAGATGCAGTAAACCTTGTTTTAACAAGGGCTTTGTAGATGAACAAGTAGGCAACCGGTGTTTGTTACTTTCTTCAGACAGGGTTGATAAACCGCCCGTGTACCTCTTGATAGAACGATATAAATTGCCACTGTTGAATGTGAGTGAACCACAGCAGCATCATGTCACTATCTAACATCCTGTAGAGCTCAGAGGGACGCTGTATACGTGCCAAGCTTCAGCTGCCGTTGATCAACAAGGGTTTTACAAAACAATTAAACTCAACAGTCTTGCAGCAAGCCAGATGTTACGATCCATTAGTTTATTTTAGAGAAATACTTTACACATTGGGGAAAAAAAAAACTCTATACACTAATTAAACCAATACCCTCATACCTTATATTAATAAAATATCAGTACATTACCAATTCTCTTTTGCTTAGAGATGGATTTACATATTATAGTAGATGTCTCCATATTCACAAAAGGGGTTTAAAACTCACAAAACAGAGCTAATACTCTACTCTCAATAATGACCTCAATTCCAAATAACATAGTCATGTGACAACCCACGATTTACATACTTTAGTATACCTTTATTATTGCAAACACATTTACTTTTACACTGTCAAACACACCCAAGTCAAGTAGTGACAGTAAAACCATCCTGATTCCCTCCTATTTCAGATTATTCCAAGAATACAAGGCGCAGGGAACTTTTAGGTGCGTAAACGCCACTTCGCGGAGGGTAAACACGATCGGTGCGTAAATGCTTCTTCCAAAATTCCAGAGGTGCGTAAACGGCGTTTACCCTCCACCACAGCCCTGCTAAGGATGTAGTACATGGTACATATTTTCTGTTACTGTAAAAGTAGCATCCCCTGCCCACCTTTCAACAATGGGGCCACAGAGGCCCCCCACCTCGGACTTCACCAAGGTATTTTTGATTGGGGAAGGAATATATAACCTTTGTGATGACCTCATCATCCACATGTGGCAATACGAGTGGCCTATGATACTCAAGGAAAATAACAATGTCCAACAACGCCACTTGGGATAGGCCAAAGACTATTCATGTTAAGGCACACAGAGCCGTTCAGCAAAATCAGGGGTCAGAGACCATAAGGTAATTATAAAAATATGTTTTTTTTAAGTTAAATATTTTTTAAAGTGACAATATGTTCTTTATTGAGTAGATGAGTGATAAAGAAAATAACAAACAATTCAAATCAATAAACCAGCATGCATAATAAGGAAGATGCAAACAAAATAACAAAAAGAAAAGACCCACATGCAATATGTATAACAGTTAATACAATAGCCATTTTTGTACCAGTTTCCAGATTGCTTGTGTAATCAGAAGTTTTACCAGAATCCAGAACGGTTTCAGCCGGTATCAAGAACAGCTTCAGTGGGGGAGGGAGAACGCGCCGGGGAATATGGGCCCCTTAATTAGTCGTGGCACCAGGATAGCCCCACAATAGCATGTCCTGCAGCAAGGCTGCAGGTCAGTCCAGCTGTGTTGTGAAACACACCGTTAGAACACGACCGCAATGAATGAACAGGCAAACACAGCGACTTACCGAACTACAGGACAGGCCGCCCACGGACCCTGGCGGTGGCACCCACCTCGCACACACACTCACAGACAGTGGCCCACACTATAACAATTAGGACTGTCAGATTTTAATAACGCCCAAATGTGTCGAAAGAGGGAGGAATGCATCGTACCGAGACACCGAACGCCAGCAGTCCAGGCATACATCCACCCACACTGGGACATCCATGACCAAGACAGGGTCGCTGTATGAAAGAAAGAGTGCCCTCACCACACCGCAGCGCAGCAGCAGAATGATGACCTCGGGCAGCGGCCAAAACATGAAGCACGTCTCCACAGACAACCAGCAGGAGAAGACAACAAAACAAGTCCACACACCACAGGTTTAAGTAATGTCCCCGCCTCTCCCAATCAATCGGAATTAGCCCCAGGTATGCTGGTCCACACCCCTGTGTGCAGGTAAGAGGGAGGGAAAACCCTCACGTCACATACACATTTGCTGATGATACATCATCAGATCAACCAGTTGCTCTTGGAGACGTTTCCTGTAGAAAAAAAGTTAGTTCGTAAACATATTGGGCCTCGTTCTTGAACATTTTCGGAAGTGTCTTCTAAAATGTTTTCTTACGGACTTTGGAGGACCAATGTCAGAAAACATCTCTGCCTGACTCATTAATGCCTGAAACACAGCCGACGTTTTCTCAACTGCGCTCCCCCAAACGTGCATTGTCTTGCATACATAAGCTCCTTACAAGGGCATGCAACTGAAGAGACGCTGCACAATCAACAGACTCCACAACATTACACTGATTCAAATCATGTGAAGGCGCAAGCCGTAGTTTTCTCAACTGCGCTCCCTGACCGCGCGTTCTATTTCACGTCTCAAGACAATTTGTAAAGGTTTTCCAAGACTGTAGCCCTTCCACTTCATATGGATTAATTTGTGTAATTTGACCATGGTTTGTTTACTATCAGGTATCAGACTACTGCCCTTTAATTACACACACTGTAAAAAACTCACTGAAAAAAAAGATCCTAATTTTACAGAAAATAACTTGTACAGTAGTTTTCCTGTTTTTTGAACTACGTACAAAACTCTGTAAAAATCCCCAAACCGACCAGAGACTGTTCGAAAGCTTTCTAACCCGTAATGAAGAAAAACACTGATTCGGAGCTCATCACTCTCCTCCAACTCAAAAGGATCCTCACAAAACCAAACTAGTCCTGTAAGGGACTCGGGCGGAGGACTTTGAAAAGAGTTCCAGACGTCCTGTGCACAGTTTCAGGTCCAAACCTTGAGAGGAAAAAGAGTTCTTGAGATCCGCCACGAAGGACCAATTATGTTAGAAAAAGTCTCACACGACACCAGTGAAAAATCATCAAGACAGGATAATTCATGTTTTCAATCAGGAGCCTACTCAAAGGGTTTCATCTTCGGAGCAGGAATATATAGTTGTGAGATAAACATGCTAAAACAGGGGGGGCTCTGGGCAAAACCCAAGTGCTGGTAGTCGACCTCAGATGTGTTGTGGTTGTGAAGGAGAGAGAACCCAAACGCAAAGGAAAATAAAGTCTCTTTTATTTAACTCCGGAATGCGGGCGCTTGGCCGGCAACGGGGAATCCCGGTGAGAGCAGGAGAGCGACGTCCAGGCCGAAGGAGAGCGCACCAGAACGCAGACGGTTCACGTCAGCAGGAGGCTGGGTAAAGCAGAGGTTTAGCAAGGATACAGTAATAGGGCAGGGCGTACGGGACAGCAAGCTCAGGTACATGTCGTGCAAAGATAATACTCTGGCGATAATACTCAGGCAGACTAGAAATACAGCGTCTAATAAGAGGAAGCAGGAACCGGTGAGGGAAAGAGAGGATGATGAGATGAGAGAATGAGAAGCAGCTGGGAATGAATGAGGGCGTGTAATGAAGTGTGTAAGTGTGAGTGAAAGGAGAGTGTGTGCGAGTGTGCGTGTGGTACCCGGTTCATGACAGGATGTAGACGATCATCTTTGGCACCATCTTGACTATCAGATGACCCAGAAAAACATGTGCCCCTATGTGAAAGAGACTCTGTTGTACTAAAGTACAACATTATTGCAGTTTTTCCAACATTAAGATAAAAAGGAAGAAAGATTTAAAAATGGCAATGCTTTAAAATATAGATTTGGCCTGTATAAAGAAAGAAAGATCTGAATTAGAACTGGTGCCTTGATAAACAAATATAATAACATATTTACTGCAAGGACATACTATTATAATTTAATTAAAGAAATGTGGCTTGAATGCGGATTTCTTGAGCTATGTCTGTCTAAAATTCAAAGCTAAAAAAAGAATCGGTTAAAAAACGGAAAAATAAACGGCCTTACCGTACAAGTGGAGTTTTTTCATAATTACTACATTCCAGATGTTAAACGTCACATTGCACAGGAACATCTTTCAACATGCATCAAAACAAAATAGGAATAATATAGAGATGTAAAAGAAGAAGGAAGTGTCATGGTCCAGCAGGAGAAAAACAACCTGCTTGAAACACAGTGACTGATTTACATTGGAAATATAACACATTTACTCTTGCACTATTAAACACATCGAAGTCAAGTAGAGTGACAGTAAAAACATCCTGATTCCCTCCCTGGCTTTGTACATGAGGTATCAGACTCCAAGTTTGAGTATCATGCGGACTCCTCTCTGAGGTTACTTCCTTTAAATACAGTATATGTATTTGTTTCTTGTTGGAAAGCAGTCTGTGTAGCAGGAGCATAAGCCGCCTACCCCGTGTTTCTATATCTGTTAAAAAGACAACTCATCTGTTTCAGAGTAGCCTAGTTGTTTCTGTAGGACCATTAATTTGCATACAAAACTGCCCCGCCAGCTCCTTATAAGAACATGCAACTGAGAGACGCTGCACAATCGACAGTCTCCACAACGTCACACTGATTCAAATCATGTCAAAGGGGAAAGTGAGCACCCGTCGAGTAAACTGAGTGTGAATGACACAGAGCTGAAAGTCAGGTGAAGGGACGGTGACTTTTGGGGACTTGTCAGCAGAGTTTTACCGGCTCACTGACAGACAGCACGCAGACTGCATCAGTCTGGATGTCTGTGCTTATGAGCTGTAAACTGTAAAGCATCACAGTCAGTGTTCAGTCACAACCATCACACTGACTGAGTCACATGACTTCACATGGCATTGTGATGGGAAACAGCTGAACTGCACTTACATTAGTTGCACTGACTGAGAACTGTCGTTGTGTTGTATCTTCAGTTCATGAATATTCTTGAACTACATTCTTCGCAGATGTCTTTTTTTTTGCTTGTACTTCCTCCTCTTTGTGGGCGTTACTGTCATCACATCTCTCCGTAAAGACTTCAATCTTTCCATTTCATTACTTCCTCCACGGATTCAACTTTGACCAACAGGACGTTTTTGAGAAAGGTATTTTTCTTCTTCTTTGAAGTTTATGTTTTTTTTGTTAAAAGGAAATATGACACTGATATGAGCTCATTTGGGATATTGAGACCTCTTAACTTTGATTTGGAGAGATTGATACTTTTTGTGTAAATGACAATTTATGAACCGAAAACTTGTTCATGTTTGATCTATGATTCAATGATGACTTTTGTGCAGCAGCCTGTTCACTTCCTTCAATAAATACATTTTAAAAAAAGGTTAAGGTTCAAAGGCAAGATAACGGTTATTGAGTTAAATGCCTTACGACCAAAGAGAGGAACTGTTCACATTTTTAAATTACATTGCAGATAATTTAATGAGACAGAAACACATTCTTCCCAATCTGGCTCTGGTTGTGGTCTGTTGAAACAACCAAAAACACAAACGCAGTAAACGTTACTGGTGTTTGTTACTTCCCTCAGACAGGTTTGATAAACGGCCCGTGTACCTCTTGATAGAACGATATAAATTAACACTGTTGAATGTGAGTGAACCACAGCACCAACATGTCACTATCTAACATCCTGTAGAGCTCAGAGGGACGCTGTATACGTGCCAAGCTTCAGCTGCCGTTGATCAACAAGGATTTTACAAAACATTTAAACTCAACAGTCTTTCAGCAAGCCAGATGTCAACAGATTTATATTTATATAACTGGCCAAATCAGTTCTTCTGTAATATTCAGTGTTGGGAGTAACGCATTACAAAGTAACGCATTACTGTAATTCCACTACTTTTAGTGGTAACAAGCATGTAACAAAGTATTTTTTATAATGAAGTAATGCAAATGAGATTGTTACTCGCATTACTCTCTTTTGTGACGCGCAGCGGACGGCCGGCAAATAGTAAGTAAATAGTGATATGGAACGCTCGGGTCAACCTAAACAGCAACTGTACATTATCGCTCAATAATGTACCCACCGTGACTCACTCTCATCCAATCAGAACGCTGGATTTCATCTATCCGTATTTTAATTTGTATTAAGTTAAGTATTAAAAGGTACTTTTGTACTACTGCTTGATTTGAAGGAATGTTGCCGTGTTGGTTACAATAAATAGGTTATTTTTTTTGTGCTTGACTGTTCAGCACTATTCATATTCATTACATTTAAAAAGCAGACATAGAAGTGACTTAAAAGTTACTTTCCGTAGTAACTAATTATTTTTGATATGCAGTAACTGGTAAGTATTTCAATTACCTTTAAAATAAGTAACTAGTAACTGTAACTAATTACTCATTTTCAGTAACTTGCCCAACCCTGGTAATATTTGTCTCTGAATACAGAAACTTTGTTTTGTGTAAATTACTCCAAGCAGTTATTGGTTTAAATCATTATTGTTCTCTTGATTTAAAACACTTGAATGCAGATACATTTCTAAATATTCTTAAAATTACGTATTATTTAAATATGAATACTTGCATCTTGCTTAAAAAAGAGACAGAATTGGCGATGCAGGACAAAAAAACATTATTGTTCTCTTGATTTCCTTGATTTGATTTTCCTGCATTTACTGCATGATATCAAACTATTATTGAATGAAAGACAAATATAACAATACTGTTTTTCTATGTTGCTATGACAGAGCCCAAATACTGATCAAGATGACTGCTGCTCCTTTCTATCACATCAACACGTCAGACGCCACTGGAAGGAACGTCTCTTTGAATGATGGCGACGATGAGTATGAATATGAGGACAAGTATGCTGAGCTGAGACAGTCTCTCAACATCATGTCTCTCATTGTTTACTGCCTGGCCTTTGTTCTTGGTGTGCTCGGCAACGGTGTGGTTATCTGGGTGACCGGCTTCAAGATGAAGAAAACAGTTAACACGGTTTGGTTCCTCAACCTCGCTGTGGCCGACTTCCTCTTCACAGTGTTTCTGCCCCTGAGTATCACCTACACAGCTCTGGATTTCCACTGGCCTTTTGGCAAATTCATGTGCAAACTGAGCCCCACAATAAGCTTTCTTAACATGTATGCCAGTGTCTACATTCTGGTGGTGATCAGTGTGGACAGATGTGTGTCTGTGGTGTGGCCCGTCTGGGCCCAGAACTACCGAAGTGTACGCAAGGCGTCCTTTGTGAGTCTGGGGGTTTGGGTCGTGGCTCTGATACTCAGCACTCCATCCTTCATCTTCATGGACACTGGGCCATCTTATAACGATAACGATGTCATCAACTGCTACAACAACTATGCTCTTTCTGACGATTACAAGAACGAGTCTGTGATTCAGCTGGGACTGCTTCGTCAAAAGGCCATGACCATCACCAACTTCCTCCTGGGATTTGTTGTCCCCTTCACTGTCATTGTCTCCTGTTATGCTGTCATAATCCATCACATCAGAAGAAACCGCACCCTGGCCAGCCACTCAAGACGCTCCTTCAAGATCATCGCTGCTGTTATCACTGCTTTCTTCCTGTGCTGGGCTCCTTATCACATTATTGATTTACTAGATTTGGCAAATTCTCTACTTTCTGTTCGAAGTGAGACATTAGACCATGTCACCACCTTTGGAATCCCTATAGCCAGCGGCCTGGCCTTTCTCAACAGCTGCCTGAACCCACTGCTGTATGTGTTTATGGGACAAGATTTCAAGGATATAGTGCGCAAATCCATCTTGAATGTTTTGGAGACTGCCTTCAAGGATGAGGTGTTTGGTCGTAACACTGGAAAAAAGTCAATTGTTGCCCCGTAATGCTGAAGTATAAGGTTTCCTATGACATGAAGGAAAGAATTCTGAAACTGTGGTTAAATAAATTGAGGTATCAAAGTTCTTTTTTGGTATTTTTGTAAAACTCTTAAGACATTTGTAAAGGTTATTCAAGACTGAAGCCCTTCTGCCTCATATGGATTGATTTGTGTAATTTGACTATGGTTGGTTCACTGATCAGGTGTCAGGTTGATAACGTGTTGAGTTACAACAGGGCCTTCAGTCTGTAACTAAAGGGAATTTCCTGTAATGAACCTAGCAGTTCTTTCAATAGGTGTTACATTATGATGATTACTTAGTTGTAACATGGTAACAAAAAAATAAGGTTTAGCATGATCATTTGAACTTTCATTTTTCGATCTGTCACCCACAATGTGAAATACATTTTGATTACTTTTTCCTTGCATGTAAAAAAAGAATAAAAAATGACAAGTTGTTTTTATCTCTGCCATTTTAGAATGTAGATAATGTAGAATATTTCATTTTATTTTCACTAATTCGGTCCGTATAAAGAAAAAACAGAATTAGAACTGCTGACTTGATAAACAAATTCAATGTGGATTCCATGAGCTATGTCTGTCTAAAATTCAAGGCTAAATAAAAGAATCAATTAAAAAACAACAAGAAACATAAATGTCCTTATAGTACAAGTGGAGTTTTGTCATTAATTACTACATTCCAGATGTTATATGTCACAGTGCACTGAAAGCATTGAAAGTTCAGAAACATCTTTCAACGTGGATCAAAACAAAATAGGAATAATGAAGAGATGTGAAAGAAGAAATAAGTGAATAGTTAAATTTCACGTTTTCACATAAGGTGTCAAAACATTTTTTTAAAAAAGACTTAGACATAGGGGTGGGAAACTCTTTGCACTTCACAATTTGATTCCGATTCAGAGGTCACTGATTCGATTCCAAACCAATTATCGCTTCTAAACCGATTATCGATTATCAATTCTAAATCGATAAAACGATCATCGATGCATCTCGATATTTAAAACATTTGAGTCTCAAATCGGAGTTTGCTACTATAGGATATTAGAAACAAATTGACGATCCGGTTCATAAAATTAATAAAAATGCATATAGTGTACACCAAAATACAGCCATGATTCTGAAACTGTGTAATCAATAAAGTAATGACAATATTGTAAAACCACTGTAATTCTGCAACTGTAATAGAATAATACGAATGCAGTTATGATTGTATTTGATGTAATGTAATCAACTGGAATTCATGCATGTAATACTTGAACAACAACTGATATTGACTGAGGATCATTCGAAATCCGAGTTACATTGAACTCACCAGAAGACCACTCCCAGAGGTGTGGACACTGACTTTCACACCTTTAAGCATTGTTATAAATACCTGTAGGAACCATTGTTCTCGAGTTCACTGGTGGAGGCGACAGATGGGCAATAGGGATGGTCAAAGGACTGACCTGGGGCCTGTTGGTCGCTGAGACCAGCGGCTCCGCAGCTGAGATGTTCTTTTTACCACAACGCCATCTCCTTTATTAATTTTTTTATTTTAACCTTTTGATCTGCGATGACCTCTGTCCGTTCGGCGTTTCTTCATTTTTGAACACAACACTACCCAGAGGTTGCTAATCACTTCCTACTTTGTTTGAGAATTAAAGAAAATCAACAGATGAATTACCTGCTCTAATTTTTTATGAGAGAAAAAAAATCTTTATCACAAATATGACTTTCTATCAACAATGCAATAACCAATGCAGCTTGCATTTCAACACAATATGGAAGTAACCATGTAAAACAAATATTAAACAGATTCATTTTTCTTTTAAATGATTAAAGAAAAGCTGCTTTTGTGCTTCAAACACAGAAAAAAGATATGCCACTTTATGGCCCTTGCATTTCAACACATTTCAACTTCACATTCAAAAGTAAACAGAAATAACAACAACGCTAAATCCATGAAAGTGCAACATAGTAAAGCTGCTTAATTTCCAGTTAATAACTGGTGGATGCTCACGAAATATCCAAGTTATTGTGTAAGAACAGGAGCTGGTCGACATTGCCAGCTTTAGTACAGAGAAATAAGGGACGCTTCGGCCGACGGGGGGCGCGGACGTTACGGGACGCGACTCTGCGACTGATTCCTTCCACTCTCGTCGGTACTTTTGTGTCCGTTTTCGCTTCAGAGGAGCATCGGGAGCTGAATCCGCCATCCTTCCAACGCTACGCCAAGAGACTCGCCCTCCGGCCTGGTTCTTGCTACATGGAAGCGTTATCGGGGTCCTGTTGCTGGGACTCTTTATCATTATTATTTTAGTTTGGGCCATTAGAGAGAGCTGTTCTACACATCACATGCTGCTCAGATCAAGAGCTTCAGCAGGAGGAAAAGATCCTCCTGTGAGCACACTGACTGATTCACATTGTCATAGCTGCCAACTCTCACGGTTCCACCGTGTGACGCATGTTTTCACTCGCACTCACACATCCGATTTCTCACGCAAAAAAAGAGAGCAGGACTTTTGGGAGTTTTGTCCGAGCCGCGTTCCTCTCCAACGTCCCCGACGGTGGGTGGCGTCCGCCCCCCGTCGGCCGTATGGTCACCCGACAAAATCACTCCCCAAGATTTTGGAAAAGTTGCAGCTCTGCATTGTTTTTAATGGTAAATGGTAACAGATTTACTATGAAACACATCCAAGTCAAGTAGAGTGACAGTAAAACGTTGGCTTTATACGTGAGAGTCACGTCACAGTACAGAGATGTTGCCCCGTAATACTGAAGTATAAGGTTTCCCATGACATGAAGGAAAGAGTTTTGAAACTGTGGTTAAATAAATTGATGCTTAATAAATGCTTAATTGCTTAATGCTTAATAAATTGCTCAATTGATTTTTTGATATTTTTGTTTTATTATTTTTTTTAAACTCTCAAGACAATTTGTAAAGATTCTCAAAGACTGAAGCCCTTCCGCCTCATATGGATTGATTTGTGTAACCAATGCAAAATAGGTATAATGTTATGACGACTGCTTACTTGTAACACAGTGTTACGGCTGCCATCGGGAACCTCATGTGTGTGAGTTAAATATATGCAAAACAGGCTGTGACATCCCCCACTCTTGATTGGAGGATCGAGAGGACCCGCCCAGCAGTCCCGGCCAATCGGAGGATCGTCATCGCCGGTCCGCCAGCTCAAAAGGCCTGACTGAACGCAGCTGAGGGCGGAGATAAGACCAGGACAGAGCGGGACTAGGAAAAGCGGAGGTGAAAACGCGGTAGGATCACTGGTTGATTAGTTGTTAATAAGTTATCTGGCGGATCTGCAGATAACACTGTACTGTGACTGTATATCATGTCAACTAGTTCAGATGGAGATGAAATGGATTGGACGATACCCCAAACAGAGAGATTGAAAAGGGCTTTAAAAACAAGAAATAGAGGGAAAGTTGGTCAGAGTACAGCGAGACTGGCGAGGGAAATGCGAGCAAGAAGTTGAGATCTAATCAGTGGGAGAAACAGAAAACTGACAACATGGAGAATGGGCAAGGAATCATATGGAAAGTTATTATTGAGTTTAACCAGGATGGTGGACATTACCACCCGATCAAACTTACTAAGGCGATTGAGAAAGAGATTGGTAAAATCATATTTGCTAGGTTTATGAGCAATAAAAGAATACTGATACATGCAACTAGCAAACAACAACAAGAAAAGATACTGAAAATGTCCTCACTTCAAGGGGAAAGAATGAAAGCACATATACCAGGAGCAATGACAAAAGTGAGAGGAGTGATCTCAGGTGTACCATTGAGTATGTCAATGGAAGATGTCAAAAATGAGATTCAGGGAGGTAAAGTGATTGAAGCCACACGGATTAAAAGCAAACAAGATGGATCATTAAAGGAAACACTATCGGTTGTAGTGCAATTTGAGAAAACTCTACCTAAATCAGTGCAAATAGGGTACATGAGTTACGGTGTGAGAGAGTATATTCCCAAACCCATTCGATGCTATAAATGTCAAAGAATGGGACATACAGCACAGCAATGCAAAGGAAAGATGCGGTGCGCTAGATGTGGTGGTCAGCATGAGTACGGTAAATGTGAAAAGCAGACGAAGATTAAATGCTGTAACTGTGGTGGTGAGCATAATGCTGCGTTTGGAGGATGTGAAGTACAAAGAAAAGCCAGAGGGTGAAGATTCTAAGTAAAGTGTCTTATACAGAAGCACTAAAAACAGTGAGAGAAACGGCATCAAATAAAAGCCCCAGTGGAACGGTTCAAAGAAATATGGTAGCAGTTAACCAAACACAAAGGCAGACTCCTGTTCATACTCAGGTTACATGTGAGCACAAATGTGAAGTTGTTAAGGAAACATTGGTAGTTAAGAAGATAAACTTTGTGGTTTTCATTTGTCACACTATCAATGTTACGCCACAGTTGAAAAAGAAAAGTGATAGAATAAACGGCTATTGTGGAGGCAGCAGAAAGAATTCTTGATATAGATATTAAAGCAGACCAGATACATGAATTGTTAACAGCACTTGGAAACGGGGAAAATACACAAACTGAGGGTTAGAACACTAATTATGGTAATGCACATACTACAGTGGAACGCCAGAAGCCTCATAGCTAATGGTCAAGAATTTAAAAAATATATTTAGGAATTAGATGTAGTTCCAGATGTAGTATGTGTACAAGAAACTTGGTTACAACCACATTTGGACTTTGTTATACCAGGGTTTAGTTCTATAAGATATGATAGGCCTAACAATCAAAATGGTGGAGGGTGTGCTACCTTTCTCAAGGATGGGCTGGCAGTTACAGAGCTCCCTTGCCCAGAGAATATGGAATGTAGGGAGTGTATACAGGAAAGAAATATGATGTGGAGATTTTAATGCGCATTACAGCCTATGGGGCAGCAAGCATACAGATAGTAACGGGAACACAATGGAAGAAATTATGGAAGAAAGGGTATTGGTATGCCTTAATAATGGACAGGGTACAAGAATAGATATGAATAGGGGTACTATATCATGCTTGGATGTTACACTGGTGTCAGAAAGCTTAGTTAAAGCATGTGATTGGCATGTTAAAAGTGAAACTACCATAGGAAGTGATAATTTCCCAGTTCTCACTGTAATTAATACACACATTTGTAGCCAAGAAGGGATGTCCATAACCAGATGGTGTTTTGAGAAAGCAGAATGGGAAAAATTTAGGGCATGTTGTGAAGAGTCAGTTAATCTGGTGACATTTGATGGAAATATAGAAGAATGTACAAAGCAAGTTACAGAACACATTATAAACTCAGCAATACAGAGTATCCCACAAAGAACAACAAAGGGAAGGAAGAAAGTGGTACCTTGGTGGAATGAGGAATGTAGCAGAGCTGTTAAAGAACGAAACAAGGCATTTAGAACATAAGAAAAATCTTTCATACGAGAATGTTATAGATTATCAAAGGAAAAGGGCTGTGGCACGTAGGACAATAAAGTATAACAAAAAGAGAAACTGGAGAGAATTCTGTTCCACCATAGGCAGAGGAGTAAAATTAGGGGATATATGGTCTATGTTCAAGAGAATGAATGGGAAAAGGACATCTGGTAAAATTCCAGCTTTGATTGATAGAGAGAAGATAATAGTATCAGATAAAGGAAAGGCAGAAGTGCTAGGGAGGCCCTTTGTGGCAGTACATAGTTGTGAAAACCTTAGTGACATACATAAACAGCAGAAAGAACGGGCATTAAGAGAGAATAAGGAAGTGAAGTTAAAAAAGGAGGATGGCATGTCAATACTAGATGTGGATTTTACGATATCAGAGCTCAACATAGCTCTGCTGGGCAGCACCCGATCAATTATGTTATGCCATGTTCAGACAGTTACCAGGCGAATCATTTAAGTTAATATTAAGACTGTTTAATAAAATTTGGAGGGATGGAATAATACCACACAGTTGGAAAAGTGCAGTAATATTACCATTCAACAAGCCTGGTAAGGACCCAGCTAATCCTGATAACTATAGGCCCATAGCATTGACATCCCACTTGTGCAAATGGATGGAGAGGATAATAGTTCGTAGATTATCACATATATTGGAACAGAGAGGATTACTGACCAATACACAAAGTGGATTTAGAAAAGGGCGCTCCACAATGCTGCTGTGATGCTGTAGTTAGAGTAAGTAATGATGTGGTTAAAATGATATGAGCAGACAATGGTGAAAGTAAATGAATTTAAGTACCTGGGACTATGGTTTGATAGTAGGTGTACATGGAAAGTGCATATTAGGAACTTAGAAACTAAATGCAAAAAAGTTATAAACCTGATGAGAGCTGTGGCGGGATGTGACTGGGGTGCAGAAAGGTAGTCGTTAATTAACATCTATAGGGCTTGCATGAGGTCATCAATAGACTATGGTTGCGTAGTTTATGGTGCAGCGGCAAAAACAGTGCTGGAAAAAATAAATAGATTACAGTATAGAGCATTACGTGTATGCATCGGAGCTGTTAAGACAACCCCCATTAATGCTATACTCATAGAAGCTGGAGAGATACCTTTGGAGTTAAGAAGAGAGAAACTGGCGATGGCGTATTGGATTAGATTGAAAGGAAGTGGGAAAGAAAACCCAGCAAAAGAAACAATACAGGAATGTTGGGAGTATACAAAGTTCCAGGGGTTCAGGTTTGGATGGACAAGAGAAATGAGAGTGAGGGAATATAAAATGGAAGCTATAAATTTCACCATGGCCAACCCAGTCAGTAGAATTCCACCGTGGCTCTTTCCAGAAGTAAATGTTGATATTAATATATTGGAAAAGAAAAGGGAATGGAGAATGGAGGAAATAGGAGTCAAAACAAACATCTACATAAGAAACAGTTACTATAATTACTTGAAGATTTATACAGACGGATCTAAGAATAAACATGAATGTGTGGGTGTTGGAATATATATACCAGAATTAAAAATCCATATCTCTAAAAGATTATCTGACCGCTCATCAGTGTACACAGCAGAAATAGTAGCAGTCATTATTGCACTACAGTGGGTATAAGAGGTTCGACCTGATAGAGTGGTACGGCGCACAGACTCTTTGGCCGTAGTCAAAAGTATGCAGTCATTAACATCAATAAGAGAAGATCTACTAATAGAACTTTTTAACAGCTTATTTAGATTGCATCAGGGTGGCATAGAGATTCAGTTTTGTTGGGTACCAGCACATGAGGGAGTTAAAGGGAACGAGATGGCAGATAGACTGGCCAAAGAGGCACCGCTTAAAGCAATTATAATTACAATCCCACTAGGAAAAGGCGAATGTAAAGCAGTGGTTAAAAGGAAAGGTCTTGAAATATGGCAGAAACGATAGGAGGAAGACAGGAAAGGTAGGAGATACTATAAAATACAAAAATGTGTCAGCATAAAGAACTACATGGAAAATACCAGGCGTGAGGAAATTGCAATGACAAGACTGAGAGTGGATCACTCAGGGCTGAATGGCACATTATTTTTAATGGGGAAAAGGAATAGTGAGAACTGTGAAAACTGTGGGGTTAAAGAAAATGCTGAACATGTAATACTGAACTGTAATACTACTGAATGAAGTGGAAAGGCAGGTGCTTAAAGATAAGGTTCAGGAGGCAGGGAGAGAGTGGAATCTGGTAGGGATACTGGGATCAGAAGGAGAAGGAATAAGAACTACAAGGAAGGCTCTAATTACCTTTTTAAAAGACTCAGGGATATGCACTAGAATTTAAATGACATGACTATACACACAGTACAGTAAGTGGCGGCATGCACCTAAACGTTGGTTGCAGTCCGCCATTAAATATGAGAAGAAGAAGAAGCTGTGGCTGTCAGACCACATTTGAAGAGCGGTTGGAGTGAGACAAAGCGGGATAAGAATCCCAAAATACTGATACCACCGGTTGCACTTCGACTTAATCTTGTTGTTCAGTCTCATTAGGTTCAGGGGTGCTGTGAGTATTGTACCTTTGGTTATTCGTTGATTAAGTTAGTGAGGACCTTTTTGTTTAACCGTTTGTGTTCTAGATATCAAGAATAATCTTCCTTTTGAGGATCTCCTTTTGTTGTATTCTGTTTTTGTTAGGGACCCGATTTTCTTAACAGCTTTCCCCCAGTCTGTGATTTTGTTTTGCTTGTTTTGTTTTTCCACCTAGGGTTTCCAACCGTGTGTTCCGCCTCCGGCCCCACCCCGCTCCCAAGTGCTCAGCTGTGGCTCATTCCGGGTATCACTTGTGACGAGCATAAAGGCTCCTGCATTCAGAGGCTCGTCGTCAGTCCGTCCCGCTACCCGAGCTGGTCTCAGGTGCCGTTGAGACTGAGATATAGCAGCTAACCAGTTTTGCATGTTTTTGTTTGTTTTTTGTATCAGACCCACAGAGTACCACGGAGTACACGTGACCTGTTTTTGAGTTGGACTGTGAGTATGGTGCCGGGCCTCGGGTTTCCACACCAGACCCTGCTTGATCCGCCCCAAACCGCAAGACGTCGGTGGAGTTTCCCTCCCGACTCCAGTTGAGCCAGAGGAGCGCTTTCTGTTTCCCTTATTCACCTCGTTGGTTTTTTTGTGGAAAATAAAATCATTTTGGCTGTAAATCCAAGGCTGCTGTGCGTGTGCTTTTGGGTCCACAAAATACACCCCCCTAACAGTTTTTGAGTTCCACAGACCCCATTGGCCCCATTCTTTGTTTGTAAGCTCTGTTCAGTTCTGCCCAATTCCTAAAAAATAAATATTCTTTTTAAATACCAATCACACTTGGTTTTATGTTCATGTCCGTCTACCCCTAGCCACCGGACGTAACACACAGTGACAAAAGATAAGGTTTAGTATGATCATTTCTACTTTCAGTTTTTTATCATCTGTCACAATATGAAATACATTTCAAATACTATTTGTAAAAAAATAAGAAGAAAAATGGCAAAGTTGTTTTTAGAATGTAGATAATGTAGATTGTATATTTTATTTAATTTTAGTAATTTAGCCTGAATAAAGAAAGATCTGAATTAGAACTGCTCCATGATAAACACATCTATTAATTAAATTACTTCAAGGACAGACTATTATAATTTAATCAAAGGAATGGAATGTGGCTTAAATGTGGATTCCTTGAGCTATGTCTGTCTAAAGATGTTATATGTCACATTACACTAGCATGCAAAGTTCAGAAAGGTCTTTTAATGTGGATTGAAACAAAATAGTAATAATGAAGAGACGTAAAAGAAGAAATAAGTGAATAGTTAAATTTCATGTTTTCACAAAAAAGTCAACTGCAAGACTACTTCAGCTTTCACATCTATACATGAATGTTATGACAATTCACTAAACATCATGTCTCTCGTGTCCACTACCCCAAGCGTTATCGGCGTCCTGTTGCTGGGACTCTTTATCATTATTATTTGAGTTTCAGCCAGTAGAGAGAGCT